TGCAGTATAAATACATTAGTGTAATAAAACATAAAGTATGGGAAACAAATGAAAATAATCTGAAGGTACGCTGCTTAGCAGGATTTCTGACATGCTAGACAAACTAAATTGGTGCACTTGCTCTGAATGCAATCCTCCTACATATGGCCATGTGGAATACACAGAAAAGGAGGTGAAGGGGCCATAGTATATACAAAAAATATTTACAATGACTAATTTGAACTATATCTTTAAAGAAAAAGCATGAGAAAATTTGCCATATGCTTTAGTGGCAGCAACTCTTGGCAATCAGAATACAGCTCCAAAATGCACAATCGTGAAATTGTAACATGTCCACTGTACAGTACCATCTGCTAGATAAAAAAAGTGATCAAAAATTACCTGTGGAACTCCTCACAAATTACTGCTATTCACAATCCATGTTGCTCATGGGAGATTATAACAATACAGATTTGTACTGAATAATGCAAACAGTCTAACACTGATGAAAGTGGTTCCCTGTAGCCTGCAAGAGAATTTTCTGATCCAGAAAGTAAAAACTTCAACCTCAGGAGAATCTGTCTTGGAAGCCGTACTCCAAGACTAAAGAAAGCTGTAATTGAGGTAATCATAACTGATAGCTTGAATTCAGCACAGAAGCAAGAAATAGGTTCAGAGAGTGCAAGAACAGAAGGAGATGCAGCTGCATCATGGAAATGCCAAAGCCTTAAGAAATCTGGAAAGTAATATGGAATTAATATAGTTTAGCTTTTGCTTTCAGAGGATGGGAAAAGGTACTCTCTTCCCATTCTGTGTTTACTAAACATCTGCAGGCAAATTTTGTAAATACCACATGCTCAGTGAAGTATCTCTTAACAGGCTGATAAGCTTATTCCAGAACAACTGAATGTTTTGAAGCCATCAGTGCTCTTCCACTCCACATTACTCTGACTTTGTCTCATCCTGTGCTTTCCAGCAATGAGGAACAGCTGGTTTAAGTATCACTTATGCCTGAATGGCTAAAGATAGCAGTAGCTAATAAGAAAGAAAGAAGACTGAATTTAAGTCTCTCCAAAAAAATCCGAGAGCTCAGGCCAGTGCTTCAAAATGAGAAGCATACATAAATAAACCAGAAGGCGGCCCTAAAGGAACAGAAGCATTGTCGGGATGTGAAGCATATCAGCTGGCCAGGAGATCATCTCCATGTCTTCTGAGAACTTTACTTCATGGCTGAGCCGTTAGAAAGCAGCTCCAAACGTCATCCATGTCAGAAGGAGACTCAGAAGATGGACAAGATGGTCCAAGTATGGCTCCAAGCTTGTTAGGCATTTTAGTGCTATTTTAGTACTCACTTCCAGACAGGCTTTCTCCTCTCACTTTAGCTGTGCTAGTTATTAGCAAAGGCTCTCGGGACTCATCAGAATAATTCTGGGTAGGTGTCCCACAAGGCTCACGGGACCTGGGTGTAATACAACAGTTGTCTCACACCTGGAAAGAGCTACACATGAGGTAAAATGGAAGGGAATTATTTAGGAGATTAGCTAAGAGAAATTAATTATGGTGGAATTGAAAAAAAAGAGAGAAAACTTAAGTGGAGCATTAAGAAAAACAGTCTGACATAAGCTATTTGAAGCCGATGAGTAACATGACAAGTCATTATTATAAAGCACTGGTATTTGGGATGTACCAAACCAGATATATTATTAGAAAATGCATCCTGGATGAGAAGATGGCAATGACAGGAGAATGGATTGCATGATGTATTTTTGCCTTTTTTCTTCTCGATCTAGGATATTTCACATATTCTGAAACATGGATTAGCAATCTTTGAGCTTTGTGAGGTAATTCTGAGAAGCAATCAGTAATTTACATAATTAGTGTAACAGTATTTAATTATATGATTACTGTAAATACATGTAAAACTCTAATGGTGTAATTAGAATGTGTAATTACTACTTGTAATTACATAATTAGGTATGATGAGATAAATAAGCTCATGAAAAAGAAGGACATTTACAAGCCCTGTTACAGGAATTTGTATAGTGCATAATTATATTGGTGGTATAAAAAGAAAAGTTACCATTGTAACACTAGTTCAAAAGTAGATGAATGCTAAAAGTTTGTGACCTGTGCCATAGTACTAGAAGAATGCATTGACTTTCCTGAATGGGGTAATTAAATTATTACAGTCAGTACCAACATTACTCCCATCCTTAATTATCTGTTGTCTATTGATAATTCTTCGTATGCTTAGCTGAATAACATGAGTATAAAGAGTGGTGAAATGGAAGCATTGAAATATCTACATTGTGTAGAATTTTCTAATTACTGATTTAAGTAATGCTTTTCCCTTAAGTTTTCAAAGCACATCTGATTTCACACTGCTCGCATGATACCATCCTGCAGATACCGGATTGGTGGTACCTCCATATGCAGGTCCCTACCCAGAAGAAGTACAGAACAGAAGCTTTTTACCACTGCACTCCAGTGCTGCATTGCCATGCCCCCATTTACCACACCGTAGAATCACAGAATGGTTTGGTTGGAAGGGACCTTAAAGATGATCTCGTTCCAACCCCCTGCCATGGGCAGGGACACTTTCCACCACACCAGGTTGCTCAAAGCCCCATCCAACCTGGCCTTGAACACTTCCAGGGATGGGGCAGCCACAGCTTCTCTGGGCAACCTCTGCCACTGCTTCACCACCCTCGCCGTGAACAATTTCTTCCTAATATCTAATCTAAATCTTCTCTCTTTCAGTTTAAAGCCATTGCCCCTTGTCCTATCACTACCCGCCTTTGTAAAAAGTCCCTCCCCAGCTTTCTTGTCGGCCCCTTTAGGTACTGGAAGGCTGCTCTAAGGTCTGTCCGGAGCCTTCCCTTCTCCAGGCTGAACAACTCCAGCTCTCTTAGCCTTAACACACTTTGCAGCTGACAGCCTTAACACACTTTGCAGCTGACAAATTAATAGTTACTGCAAAGCACATTTTAAAACTCACTGTCCTTGATCTCTATACCAAAGCAACTCAATTGCTGTATACAGCCTTAACATAATTATAAAAATCCTTTAACAGTCAACAGAATTATCCTTCCAAATAAATTTGTGTTCTTCTCTATGGGCTAGACAATGGAGTCCGTGGTCACAGTTGTCAGCACTGATCTACAGAAGCATCTCCAGAAAGATCATTTGACTAGGTGATTGGCTTACCAGTGTAAATCCCCAAAGTATGACCCAGGAAGACAGACTGTAGATAGTATATTTTGCAATTCAGTAATACTTTACTAACAATAGCAGAATTCTTTCACTGTTTCAATATACTGGAAATGTCAATTTTTGTACGTATCTACTTTCTATTATATGCTCTCCAAAGCAGAAATATGTATGTGTATATATATATATAGACACACACAAACCCAAATCCAGTATAATATATAATATCTACAACTTCATACACAAAGCTTATTTTTACATACTGTTACACACACACCTACAAAAAGAAAAAGAAACACAAAATAACAGATGATGATCCAGAAAATGCAATGATGACTTCAAGTAATAGCTCTGACTATCCCATTTCTAGCAAAACAGGAGATTGGTTTTATGTGATCTATAATCTGAGCAATGTTCATGATGCAGCCAGAAAAACAGGAGAGAAACTCTGAAGAGATGGATGAGATTCCTGGTAGAATTCCAAATGGTAATTCAATTGCACCTTATAAGGAAATACATGAAGTGATTCACCAGCACCTTTTACAGGAAACTTTAATAGATGTTCATTTATTACAAATTCTTTCAGGTAGCCATATAGGCCTGTAAAGCAAATCTTAATCTTTGATTTCTCTCTAGAATTACGTCCACATTATGCTGAATACCTCAGATTTTTTGCCTGTTGCATATATAAATCTGCGAATTCACTGAGGCTACTTCAAAAAATTCTCAGGTTGTTATTCCAGTTATTGGTCCATGTTGTTTCCTTCTCCATTCTTCCCCATGCATCCACAATATAAACACAGAAAAATGAATCATATTCTTCAGCTTTGTTATGGTTTCATTTATTTAGTATTTAACTTAGAACTTTTTCTTATTTTTTTTTTTGCTGCTACACATAGTAGACATTCCTTGAACTAGAAATCACCTTTCTTGAATGGATGACTCCCATATTTCAGATATTTTGAATGTAGCATCTAGTACTACAAATGCTAATACACAAATACTTTCCTTTTTCTCCTTAGGGTACCAGACTTGACACACCTTGGGACTATATTAGCCTCTTCCACAACACCATCATATTAGCATTCTTTGTTCGACTAAAACACACAGTCTTTCTTCTCTGCAGTATTTCAAATCCATGAGACTCTAACATCTGTTATTAACTGTTAAGGTATATGGCATTTCATACAATAGCAGTTTATTCTATTTTTGTTATTTTGGTCTTCAAAACCTAGTCTCTCATACATTAAGAACTCCTTTATGGTAACAACTTTAGGAATCGGACCTTTGTAGTGCATTCATAGCCAGTGTTACTGGTAAAATAATGGGAGATTGTTCCCAGGACAGATACTAGAGAAACTCCACTAGTGACTTCTCTGTCAACCAGTGGTCCAACTTTCAGAGGTTAGAGACATGTCAAAGAAAGTAACATATATTTTTGCCCTGTTCTTACACTTATTGATATCTGCTAATAATTATTGTTGAAGACAAGATACTTGGTGAGATGAACCCCTAGCCTGAATCAGTTTTTGTATTTTTCTACTTTACACTATTTGCTCCTTCTTGTTTGACTCTTAGATAATAATTTTGCATTTTGCAAATGTTTCCATCATATCAGATGGTTTACTTGAATGCATGACAGATTTGGTCTCTTAAATTTCCTCCATTTTGAAAAGAATAAGATGGTCATTTTGAGCATTATGTATTTGTAGACCACAGACATATTTCCATAGTATTCTATAGTTGTCTCTGCAAGAGAAAATGTTTATTTATTTTATTTAAAAAAATAGATGTAAAAACATGCGACTTACTCTGTTGGCAGTTTCTTCCCATAAATTCACCCGGACATTCACAGGAATAGTTGGCAACGAGATCTGTACAGATTCCACCATTCTTGCAGGGTTCAGCTTCACATTCATTTACATCTGCAGGAAGCATACAAGATAGGTTCAGGATTAGCAAAGAGAAATTGTAAAAGCGATAAGCATGTGTTTTAAAGCACTAAAACACAACGTATTTATACAACTGACAGAAGATATACATTCTTTTGCCCAGCAAACATGCTCAGTAAAGGATGTGACTAAACAGCAAAAAACCAAAACAATCTCATATAAATTTAGCTAGTTTCATGTACCTCCTAAAGTTTTACTATGTCCCATCACACAGCAGAATGCTTGAGCAAGTTCTGCTCAGGACTTTTCACTGTAACTTCCAGAAGTCATCAAGGCCACAAGTCACAGTTTTGCCTTAAATGAACAAATTCAATTAGTTCTAACAGAGTAATTATTAGTGATCCTTGCAGCTTCAAGAAATGTAGCTACTTCTTTATCAACAGATGCCAGTTAAGAGTGTCTCTCAGTTCATCTTAATTCATTAAACATCTAATTGACAAGGTTGTTTAACCGTCTAAAAAATTTCCTTTCTGTGCATGAGTTAGTGGGCGAATTGAAACCAATAGCTTGATCTAGATAGAAGCTTTCAAAGTTTATTAAATTCAAAAGACAGAAAAGGTGGTTAATTTAATTTTAGTTTACCTTTTCCACTACACTTTGTCAAATGCTGCAAGAATACCATTCCCCTGTGTTTTTCAGTGTAGTAACTTTCAAGTATAATATCAGATTATTTTTCTCAAATGCAATACAGTATTTTTCAGGCATCATAAATAGGCAGATGAAGGATAATGATATTTCATAACTAAAATTCTCCATCTTTGCATTTACGTTTATTCTGTATGGAGTAGAAACATTGTATGGATTTTATACATTGTTGCCTCAAAAGGCTGCTTCAACGCATACAGTTAAATATTCAAAAGATAGTAGCCCACACTAGCTTAAGAGTTGATGTCCTGTTGCATTAGACACTGTAAACAGCAAAGATAAAAGCAGTCTTTAGCTTGTAGTACAATTTTGCTTCACTCAGTTTTGCTTAAGTGCATATTAATTTTGGATGTAGTTGCCTATAAAGTCCAAACATGCATAGCACAGGAATAAGTTAAAATGAGAAGACACTTAACAGAGATGAACCAGTTGCATTCATTGGCAGGTGAAGTGATGGATGAATTGAAGTAATACCTCCTCATCATTTTGTTGAATCTGCTTCTCTCTCCAAAATGCAAACCCGGTCTGCGCTGGCATATACAAACTAAAGAAGAGGCTACATAAATGTCTACACCTGATGCAATAAGGCTTGTGTAGAAGAAGCAGAATTTAGCTCTGTCCACAAAGTTGATTTCTGGTAGTTGAGTATGTAACTTTTGTACTTTTAATTTGGTTTTTTACATTTATTAGGAATCTATGTACAAAAATTCAGTGTTTTAATACACGCGACTTGCCTAGATCTGATTGATTTTGTGATGTCTCCAGGAAAGCCTGTGCGTCCAGTCTTTTCTGCAGATCTAAAAAGCTGTGTAGCTTTTAAGCAATGTGTGCAATGTATGTGAGGTTAGTTGAGAATTCACTGAATGGCTGGGCCCAGAGAGTGTTGATTCAGTGAGACAGACTCTTTTCAGTGGTGGCTAGTGACAGGACAAGAGGCAATGGGTACAGACTGAAACACAGGATGTTCCGTTTTAACATCAGAAAACATGTTTTTACTGTAAGGGTGACTGAACAGTGGCACAGGTCGCCCAGGGCATTTGTGGAGTCTCCATCCTTGGAGATATTCAAAAAACATTTGGATATAATCCTGAGCAAACAGCTCTAGATGGTCCTGCTTGAGCAGAAGCTTGTGGAGCACAGGACTCCCAGAGTTCCCTTTTATCCTTAACCCTTCTGTGATTTTGTGACAATCTTCTGCTGTCAACAGAAATGTAGGGACAGACCTTCAGCTAAATGTTAAGACTAGTTTTAGTTCTTTGAACCAGAAAAAATATCAGATTTTCATACTAAAATTGATGATGGTTCTCTGAGTTTCTTTTTAATCTCTCATGTCTTACTATTTGTTGCTTATAAAGATATCACATACTGGACTAATAAAAATTCACAGCATTAGCTGAATTTCTGTCTGTTAAGAGGAAGATGAGGAGTAACAGCTTAGTGTGTGAGAAATAAAACCTGCCAAGGGAAATGACCAAAGAACAGACCTGCTCAATTCTAAATTAAATTCTTTATATGTATTTATAAAATTTAACAAGATTCTTCAGGTCCCTATTTGCCTTTTTAAGCAAAGCCCATTAACCTTACGTTTTCATCAGGTTATTCATTTTAATACTGGCTAACACATTTGTAGGAAAAAATACAGGCTAACACATTCATGGGAGAAAAATATCAAGGTCACTGTGAACTAAAAGACATTAAGTGAACATATGAACTATCTTTTACTTGGTGAAATGAAGGTAGTAATTTATCCTCTTAAAAGCTTTTCCGTGTAAAGATAGTATCTTCTCAAGATACTTAAGTTTTTCTAATTTTCCATTCCTACTGAAATACATAGGAAAAAATGCACAACTTTCCAGTATATTTCATATTGTCTATGTGATGATGTAGAAGAAAAGACGGAACCTGAAATACCAGGTACTTTTAAAGTAATCCTCGTATTCTATCCCTAGGGAGCAATTAGCCATGATCAGTGCAGAAAGATATAAGTTTTTTATTATTATCTTTGTTACTTGGATCCTAAAGTGATTTTTTCCCAGTAATTTGAGAACCTTTAGTCCCATCAGTTCAAAAAAATATGGCATGTTTGATGAATGAGGAAAGACTAGCTCTTTGTAGCATTGTGTTTGATACCAGAACGGACATTTAGTTGGAAAGATAATGAACTGAACTGTGTTAAAAAAAGGAGCATAAGTTCTAGAGAATTATTTAATTTACTATTCATTATTTCATTTTATTGAATGTGCAGATGTAGAATATTCAATTAAAAGTGATTCCTGCAAATTCTGGTCAGATTTTTTTCATATTCCTAGACATACCAATTACGATACTAAACTTTACACCAGCTGTTGCGGTTCATTCTTCTGAAACACATATATTCCTTTTAAAACCTTGTTACACTGTAACAATTAGAAGTAAATTTGAATAGAAATTTTAAAATGCCAGAATTTCTGTAGTAGATGCTCCTAAAGACAATAAAGGCTCGTAAAGAAAATCTCTCTGTATGTTGTCAGATACAAATTCTTCACTGACTATGCAATCAACCTACCTACGCGAGAAGGATGTGCTTTTAATATAAATTAACTAATACCAAGTAAAACGACTGTAGGTTGCTCACGATTTTTCAGCTAAGTTTAGGTTTTATGCCAGGTCAGATTTCGAAACGTAGTTCAGATAACAATCTTATGCATTGCAGTAACTAAAACACAGATAGTTGTGTACTACCAGAGAATTCAGAGTCCCTCACAGAGGGACCTAGTAAGACTGTTAAATACCAAGTGAAATGGGGTCCTGAAGAGGTGTAAGTGCCAGCACAGGAAAAGCCTGTATTTCTAAATAGTGCCCAAGTTAGTTTTAAAAAAAAAACCAAAACAAAACACCCCCCCCC